GGGGGGGGGGGGGGGGGGGGGGGGGGGGGGGGGGGGGGGGGGGGGGGGGGGGGGGGCAGTGCTGTGGCCGTCGTTCGACCGCTGTTTTAATACCGTGGTCTACGATGGCAGTCTACAACAACAATACGAAAACGCCTTCAAGGACACAATGAAAGCTAGTTTTGAGAACAGCCCGCCACACTTTTGTCCCGGCAGGACGGGGAGGGGGGTGGTGGTGTTCCACGTAAACGAGAGGCCAGAGAAAAGCGCGGGAGGACTCAAGACCAGCAAGCACAAGAGCAAGTGATATAGTACACGGCGAACTGAAACAAAGGCGCACCGTCGTAGCGGGGAATATGCCGCTCCCGTTGACGGTGCATTTTTGCAAGCCAAGAGACCACCGCCCATGCGTGAACCGTAGGGCAACTGCAGTTGTTTGAACACGCAGCAGCTTCAACAAAGCAGCAGCAGAGCAGCACGGCCGCCTGTCTGGCGGTTCAGCCGCAACCAGACTTGAAAAAATAAAACATAAATACATCGATTCCTTGCTCTGCTCGTGACCATGGTCCTGCCACACCGGGATGTTAATACCACAAACACCCATATCTGTTCACACAAAGGTACCAGCGCATGGCCTGCCTCTCTGGGGTGCACACGGATAAGACACACCTCCTTGAAGTTGAGCTTGAAGAGCGACTGCAGCGGCTCGAGCGCGTTGACGGTGGCCGCCGTGATCTCGGGACCGATGCCGTCCCCAGGCAGGAGCATGACGTCATAGCTGTCCTTCGCCTCCGTCACCATGGACAGCTTCGCCGTTCGTTCGACCGTTGTTTTTGAGGCAGATACAGACAGCGCAAGGCGACCAAATATTAGGGTGGTGCTGTAATGTAGAGCGGCCAAGCCGAGCGAAGGGGTCGGTTGCCTGTTGGCGTTCATCAAGTTTAGCGGGCGGTGGCGTTCCCCCGCACGAATCATGGTAATGTGCAATATCTTTTCATTTTCATTTTTTGTTTTACTTGCGTTGGCTTCGGTTGTTGTTCCAAGCGCAGCCTGCCTCGAGCGGGCAATTCATAACGACAACGGAGGAAACCTTGAATAGTACAAAAATTGTACGCGCAACGAGTTACCCTGCCTTGCAGGCTTGCAGGGTGTGCTACATAGTTGAAGGCTGTTTAGTCAGTACATTAGATTACTCAGTCAGCAACGCTGTATGAGTAGCCTAGACTAATTGACAACTGCTGTAGCCTGGACGCTGACTGTGTAATCTAGACGTCTGTAGACGGTTTAGTCTTGTTGACTAGCCTAATCAAAAACGGTGTCTACAGCAGAAGAGTGTACGTCGGTGGGCGCTCACGGTAAGTGCAATGAGGCGAACACAAAGAAGGCCACTAAAGACATGCAAAACAGGCGTACCCCCTCCCCCCAATCGAGCGACGCACGCCCCCGTTGGAACATCTCCTTTCCTACCAACGAACTTCTCCACGCCGTGCTGCAAAAAAGGGCTGCACCAGGGCGCGATTTGCGTCGTGTTTGACGACCCTGGTCAACTCTAAAAGCTGGTAAACCCTTTTAATAGAGGCTCAAGTACGATGAGAACGTGGGCTAGCGGTTGTCCGCATACTACGGTAGTACACAGCCGGAGCACTTGCCATGTTGTTTCCACAATGTAGCAACATGGACTCCAGCTGCAGATGTTATCAGTGGCTCCTCCGCTATTTTTTACACACATCAATGCCCCCCGCCCCCGGCGCCTCATGCTCCCCCCACACGATGTGGATGATCATGACACAAATTATCTGAGCATCACCCCTCCTCTCTGTGATGACTATAGTAGCAGTTTCATGTCTCGCTACCGTATTGTCGACAAAGCAACTCAGCGAGGTCAACATCTCAGCGTCTTGATATGGCATTGTCGGCGAAGGCACTCAGCGAGAGGGCCAACATGTCACTGGATGCCGGTACGTGGTGTGTATACAAGACTGTTAGGGGTGCCAATCGGTCAAATTTCCTATAGGAAAAAATTTCGAAAAGTGTCCTGGATCTTCCAGATGGAAAATCGCTCGAGCCAATAAAATCACATCGAACGCTCCGAAGAACCCCGCCAGAACCAAAAAACACCTGACGCCCCGCGAGCGCGAAGCGTGTGTGAACGCGTTCCGCCGTGCCGTGGAGGTTGCACACGGCACCCTAGCGGCACCCTAGCGCCGTCCGCAACCTAGCAAACATGCCTGGTGGCTCACTCGAACAGCCGCCGGGCGGTGGGACCGCGCGGACTCCTCCTGCTGGAGGAAGCAGTGCTCCTCCTGCTGCTGGCGAAAAAAACAGCAGCAGCGAGGAAGCACCCATCATCTACGCCCACCGCCTCCGCCTTCGCCTTGTCTCGTTCAGCCTCTTGCTTCCTCCGCTCTGCCTCTTGCTGCGACCGCTCTGCCTCTGCTCTCTTAGCCTTCTCCTCCTTTAGCGCCTCGGTGCTCTCGCGCGCGAGCTCCTGAGCCATGCTGCACTCAGCGGTGCTTGCCGCCTCGCGCTGTTTACTTTCGACCAACTCATGCTCCTTTTCTGTCAGCGCTTTCTGTGCGGCGGCAACACCGCCCCTTTCGACCGCACGCCGTGTGTTTGACGCTGCGCAGGCGGCGTACACAGACTGCCCCGACGCCTGTTCGTACTTGGCTTGGTTTTTCCTGAGGTTCTTCGCGGCTCGCCTGCTGCCGCCACCAAAAACGCGCCTCT